TGTATACACGGTAACTGGACTTGAGGTGCCTTCTAGATAATGATGCCATTCTTGAAATGAATCCACAATTGCAAGGAGCTCTTTATCATGGATCTCATAGTTAATCTCGGCTGCTGAAAATTTTCTCGAATGGAAAAATATTGGATAGAGTTTATCATTTGTTTCCATTTATGACAATGTGGCACCTATAGCAAAATCTGACGTGTATGTTTCCATAAAAAATGCCTTGGAGAAGTCAACAGAATATAAGATTGGTGCAGAAATAAATTCTTTCTTTAAGGCATCAAATAATGCTTCTCCTTCTTTATTCCACTCAAGTTTGTCTTTACAAGTCAAATGTGTAAGTGGAGCTACAACTTGAGAAAATTCTTCATGAAGATTCGATAGTAATTAGCAAAGCCCAAAAAGTATTGCACATCTCGTACTGTTCTTCTAATCTTCCAATCTATGATAGTTTGAACCTTCTTGGGATCCATCATAAGGCCTTCATTGGAAATGATGTATCCTAAGAAGTCAACTTAAGTAGTGTGGAATACACACTTTTTCAATTTGGCATATAATCCTGCATCTCTAAGTTTCTGTAACACACGACAAACATGAAGCTCATGTTCTTTTGTATTTTTAGAGTAGATTAGAATATCGTCTAAATATCAAACAACAAAATTATCTAAAAACTCATGAAAAATATCATTCATAAGATGTTGAAAAGTGGCCGGTGTATTTGTGAGTCCAAAAGGCATGACATTATATTCAAAATGTCCATACCTAGTTCGAAAAGCAGTCTTCCATTCATCTCCTTCTTTGATACGAACTAAGTTGTATGCTCCTCGTAGATCTATTTTGGTATAGATCTTTGCTTGTTTGAGTTTGTCAAGAAGTCGTGAAATTAAAGGCAAAGGATACTTATTTTTGATGGTGATCTTGTTGAGTCCTCGATAATCCACACACATTCCTATAGATACGCCTTTTTTTTTCACAGATAAGATAGGAGCCCCGGTTGGAGATTTAGAATGGCGTATGAAGTTCTTTGCCAAATTCTCATCAATGTACTCCTTTAATGCAGCCAACTCATTCTGCGATAAGCTATAAATTGGTCCAATTAGTAGTTGAGCTCCTTCTTGCAGATCAATTGAACAATCATAAAGTTGATGCTCGGGAAGAATATCTGCTTCTTTCTTTTCAAAAACGTTTTGGAATTCTTGATATTACTTAGGAATACCACTTGACATTGTTTCACTATTAGAAATAGATATAGCATATATAGGAAAAGATGATTCTTCTTTTGTAGTATGCATGAAAGCTTTTGCACCTATTAGTAAAGGTTTGGACGTACTGGACTTACATACTTCTACTTTGCTAATGCGATCTTTGATTATACTATCAAGAAAGTTAGGGTTATGAGAAATCCAATCTATTTGAGGGTTATATTTTTCTAGCCATGATAATTCTAAAATAACCGAATTAGAGGTAGATTTTATTACATTAAATAATACTACGTTATTATGATCTTTAATTGCTATATCTAAAGGAATAGTTTCATGAATAATATTTCCAAAAGACAACGAACAACCATCTATGACTTCTACATGTACGGATTTAACTTTCTTCACTAAAGGTATTTTTTGATTTTTGGCAAAATCTTTGTCTATAAAACATGTTGAGGCTCCTGAATCTAACAAGGCAAAGACTTTGTGATTATTAGGTCCTAAATATACTTCTATTATAAAACAAGGTGAGAGGTCTGAGAAGAAGACAGGATCTTTACTAGGTATTGCACATGATTCCAGCCGCACAGTCCCTATTGTAGCTGGAGAAACTCATTTTATGACACACTATCTTCTTTGGTAATTGTGCTCTTCATTTTGTAATTGTGTTGCTTCTTTGGACAATATTGAGTAGTGTGCTTAGCTTCTCCACAATATAAATACAATGCCTCTTGGCAACGTCGAGTCTTTTCCTCCTTTGTGAGAGGTTTAAAATGTATCATATCAATTTGCATTGGTTCTGACTTTGATGAATATGTTTCAGAAAACTTGAGAGTTGCCGCCATTACTTGACTTGTTCTTCTCCAACTAAATCTTTGTTCATGACGCCTTTCAAATAAATGATTGTCACATGTAATGGCTTGAATAAAAAATTGTTCTAAAGATTCTACTTTCGACATTGTTAATAACAAATCTTTGACGCTATCCTTTAATCCATATCGAAATTGGTTGATAAGTGCTTTGTGGTTCCAGTCCACATCGCAAGCAAGATTTTGGAATTTTGCAGCATATGTAGTGGCTGATCGTGATCCTTGCTGTAAGGATAGAAGCTTGGTTTTTGCTATTTGTTTTTTATCACTTTCTCCAAATGTGGCCGTAAATACTTCTAGAAATGAATTTAAATTGTAAAGGAGTCGTGAATCTTTTTTCATTAAAGGTGCAAACCAAGAGAGAGCACTTCTTGATAGTAGTGCGCCTGTAAATCCGACTTGGATAAATCCATGAAGATATTGGAAAGGGTGCAACTTTAAATAGAGCTTGACTTGTTGCAAAAATCCTCAAAATTTTGAACTTGTTCCATCAAACTTCTTAGGCATACTAATCCTTGTCCCTGTCATACTTGTAGAAGCAAAACTCCTTGGATTTGGTTGTAACGCTGATCTACTTGCTTCTTTCAACTGCACAACTTCTTGTCGCAGATTCTGAACTTCTTCCATAGGCGTAGGCACAATGCTTCCATGATTCACGTTGGAAATATGTGAGATTTCAACTCTTAGAGTGTTGACAAGCTCATGAAGATTAGTTGCAAATCTATTCTCACTTCCATTGAGAGTAGCATCCATAATCTTTCCTTCTATAGACAACTCAAGCGAATTCAAAAGTTAAATTAGAAGAGGGTAATCCGCAACCTCTAAAAAAAAATCCCACAAAGAGGGATAATCTACTCTCTTTAAGGAAAAGATCAATGTTAGAAAACAAGATTTTTTATTTAAAGGTGGGTAGTTCGCAACCTTCAAAACACAATAATAGAAGTGGGGTAATCCACTCACTTTTAGAACAAGACAGAAATAATATGTTAGCACTCTTGTCAAAATGTCAAGGACATGAATCTCGAAGAAAGGGAATCCTCAATACACTCTTCTATCACTGAAGAGAACTAAAAAGTCACTCAAAACGTGATGTAATATTAAATAGAATGGTTATTGCCAAAAAACAAGAAAACTAAAAAGTCTTGAAACAAGATTAAGACTAGAAAGGCGTTGACAAGAGTGAAGAAGGCTTCACTCTTGCCTCTATATATACTATTTAACTAAGAGCCACGTGACGATGTCCTATAGGACCTCCAACATGTGTTGACTTTATTAGCCACATGTCTTATCTTGCAAAGGAAGTTATCTATGTATGCGCCACGTAGTTAGCTTGTTCCATAAGCTATTACACAGAGGTAACTTGTTCCACAAGCTATCAATACATGGTTAGCTTTTTGGCCAAGTTTCTAACCTACGAATACATCTAAAATCAAAACCGCATCTATAAAGCTTCTAGGAAGCTTTTCTAGAAGACTTTATGAAATTATTCTATTTTACCTACTTCTACTTAATCATATAAGTAACTACTGAGGTAAATATATATATCTGTGATACTTTTAGAACCAAAGTTCTAACAAATGAACTTCTAAACTATATAAGAGTAATTCATTTTGTTTCTCTACAAGAAGTAGATAAGACATGAGATGAACATGACTTTGAAATTTCATATTCCTATATTGTTGTGCAAGTACATTAGATATAAGAAGAAATATAGAGAGAATTTTTTCAATCATTTCTTCTTCAGAGATGCTTTGTCCACATTACTATAATTTTTAGACAATATAATATATTTTATTATTAAAAGCATTTAAATTTGAAAAATCCAAGACACATAAATGTGTGCAATTATGACATACAAGCAAAAAGAAAATAGTCTTTTGATGATCAAAGCTGAATTTAAGATTTTTCCAAAGCTTAGCTGAATCTTCCATTTTTAAATATTGATGTTGCAATACAGATATAAGATGACGATGAAAGAAAAGAAGTGCTTTTCAATGGATAGCAAGAAGAATAGAAGTACTTACAATAGGAGACTCTTCAAACAGAATTCCATCTAAAAATTGTTCTACAAATAAATTTATTATTGCCATTTTAGCCCATAATAGATAATTGTTTTCATCATCAACCAATGATGGAAATAAAAGAGCTTAAAAATGTTAGGATGTAGTGGTAATAGTTAGAAACATAGTAGAGGCAGTTGAAGATGTTGAAGCATTTATTATAAATAAATTTAAGAAGAAAATATAAGATCAAATAGAAAAGATTGAGTAATATATATCTTGAAATGTAAAGCCAAATAAAATGATAAAGTTAAACTTGAAATCAAAAATGTTATTTATTATTATTATTTTATAGAAACAAGGATCCACAATAAACTATGGCAACAACCGTAGTAGTGGTAGATGGTAGCAATACACGGTGAGAAGGCGCAATAATTAGGCAATAAGATGTGAATAATTTGGTGGCAAGGCGTAGTAGTTTGGCAGCAATGTCTTGCAAGGCACAACATGCAAGATGTAGCAATGTGAGGAAAAACAAACAAGGAAATGGCAAAGGACAAGGTGCACAAGAGCAATTGTGTCTATAATATGTTCAGAAGTCATGTTGATAACATGTTGAGAATATTTTAGAGAGACACAAAAGTAGTTGGAAGTAATATGCACACATACAAGAAAAAGGGAGAAGATAAAACAGTTTCAAGCATTAGGTAATAATAATTGTGGAATGGGTATTCATCTAGTGTCATGCAAGCTACAGTATTTACCACACATAACTGGGGAGGATTCATGTGTTATAGGAAAAAGATGAATGAGCAAAATAATCTATGCCTTAGCAGCAAAGCTCTACAGCATCGTCAACACATGCATTCGAACAACATGAGAAACCATTCTCAATCCCAGGTTCTCAGACACCTCCACACAAGCTGTAGCATTAGACATCAAGGGAATAAATATTTACGGCGGTACATTGTCTGCAATTTTGAAAGTAGTCGTGAACTTCTCAGGAAACTGTTCAAGCTCTGCGGGGAACTGCGGTTGCAACTGCTAGCGTATCAAGCCTAGCCCATTCGTCTCGGGTGTAAACAAATACTACACAAAAGCAAGAAGAGCCACCGTATATTACACTAAAGATAGTATCATAGTCAAAACAACAGAAGATACTTCACCGAACAAACAAGACTCTAGATCTTGTGAGCTCAGTGTCCTCAGGAACGCTGGTGCGGAGGGAGAGTGAATCACTGCTCTGATCGACCAAGACAGACACAGTGCCTGACACTCGTGTATCTGAATCAACCACCACAGTATTGTCCTTCACACTTCGCAACACATGCTTAGGAAAATAGTTAGAACTGACGTAGAGGGAATACTGCACGTTTTGAATGAAATCTCGGAATAGGAGCCGCTCGTTGAGATTGAGACGCCAAGTATAAGAGGATGCGAGTGTGGCCCTAGCGACGGTAGCCTTCAGATTCATCCCATAAGCAGTGTTTTGATCCACTATCGTGTCATACACAGCGGTGAAACGGCCTGCAGATTCGTCAAGTTGCACAACAGGAACGCCACGAGATGATCCTGTAAACATATTGTTTATGATTGTCAAGTAGGAAATAGCGTGGGATTTCTTGGTTGATCGCAGCAGAATATTAGCATCGTCCGAGAAAAAGCTGCTCGATATCTCAAGTTGTAAAGGGTCTTCAGCAATAATTCCTGTACCCTCCAAATGGCATCCAACAATTCGCGTCTGAGTGTAGCCTGGTAACTGCAGGTAGATACCCACACCACCTAACCTGGCGGCCTTATTATACGCGTGCACCCCTGTGATGAAGTTTCCCACTCCACTGACTGCAATTCCGTAGGCTGCTGAGAAGATGACAACATCAGAAACAACGTTGTCATTGCTAATAAGATTGATTCCAATTCCTGTGAAGTCCGACTCTCTCGGATCTTTGCCAGTTGTAATAAACTGACCAAAGAACGAATCCCGAATGATAGTCTCATGACCACCTTCCACCAAGATACCATCGCTCTCAAAGTGAGTAACGTACACATTCTCCACAGTTACGCGGATAGAATCCACTAAGAGTATGCCTCCACCCCTAAAATTAGCGTCCAACAAAAGATCTCTAATGATGATGTCTTCATAGGCCAAGAATTCTTTGGATAAGGGCAAACTACGTTGCTTGCGTTCCCGAAGTGAAGCTTTCGTTTGATTTGCTCTCAGACTCACAGAGTAAGCCGACCACGCCTCAATTAGGTAACCGTCCCGTGGAAATGTAAACGTTGCCCTGATGGTGCCACCATGTATCTGAATTTCAACTTTCCACTGTCCATGTCAGAAATATATCACCGCATTCATGAGTTGAACCCACTTCCTTAGCTTGCTTTTAACCAGATGTCGAGGAAAGGAGAAGAAGAAGAAGAAGAAGAAGAAGGGGTAGCTGTTTCACGTTTCATTAGATCGCATCTTCACAAACTCAATTTCAATGAAAAGGCTGAGCACACGACGCAACCACAACAGTATTCAAAGCCATGTCCTCTCCATCGACTTCATCAGCACTTGATGGTTAGAACACGCTGTATTTGAGCAATAGAATCTCGACGCTCCCTCTATCTCAATGTAATGCTTCTGCTCTCGAATACAGTTGTAGTAACCAATGCTTGCAACTAGGCAATGAAGCTGGCCACAAGCTTAGAGAAGAGTTTTTGGTCCATCGCGTTCCTAAGACACTGCCGTCTCAACATGAATGTTATCTCTGAAAGGTGAAAACCATACCACAAGGTTACCACCACCTTTGCTGGGGAATTGCAGTGGGTAGCTGATAATGTAATCGCCTCCTTCCAAGTGAATCTCTACGCCTCCAAGATCCGGAATACCAGGAAGAAGCTCATGTCTGGTAGCAATCTTAAAGGCTTCATTAATTGCAGTCTGCAGAGCACGGGTGCTATCGTATTGACCTGTCGGATCAGCGGAGTAATCCGTCACATAAAGAATTCTAGAGTACGCACCATTCCTCTGCAGGATTATAGATTGGCGTCAGTGACAGAAAACCATTCTCAGTTCATGAAAATATGCAGAAAGTCAGAGTTGTTCTGGACTTCCCAAAACTGCCCTCCAAATGCCAAGCCTTCGATAAAATGCCAGAAAAGTCCACAAGTTAATGTGTGAGCTAATTTATACACCAAAACCTTCGAAATGACCTAGATAAATCGCTTGGGAACGTCCCAATAATGAAGGATGTAAATAAATTGCGAAATATGAAATCCACATTGCAGTAACGCAAGTAGACACTTCCCGCATGCATTGACTGTCTTATCCGGAAGACCCACGGTATATACGCGTTACACGCATTAACATATTAGATGTAAAACAGTGGAGAGCAGACCTTGGCATGCAAGCGACCTTCCTCAGCAGCCATGATCTTCGTCTTGTGCCATATCGAGGCTTGCAACCTCTCTGCTCTCTCTCTACTGGGATGAAGGTGCCCGATTTGAACAGAAAAACGTGGAATCCTCAGATCCCCTTCACCCGATTTCAAGGCATCCGACAAACGGTAGCAGTACCCTGGTGCAATCAAGACAAAGATGCTAACAAAGAGCACCACATTTTGCGAATGGAAACCTCTCATTGCAATATCCTGCGCACACGTCAAGAGCCCTTCAATACATAATTCCAAAGAACATCTCGCTGTCGCACATACACTCCCCTACTTCAAAAATAGATGCCGAGCATCAGCCCCAATGCTCTAACCTCAAAAACTGCCAGAACTTGCAATCCAGGACCCCCCCCCCCCCACACACCAAAAAAAAAAAAAAAAACAAACAAACAAAATCGGAAAATACTGGGCGACCCATTTCTACATGCTTGTAGCCGAAACCCGACCCATGACGTGCCAAATTGTGCACTGCACACTAATCTCCATCCTCAAACTGTAAGAAAAAATTACGCATCCTAACTTACACCGAGAGATTCTCACAGCCAGACTTCAACAACAGTTTCAACTAGACAAAGCCCTCCTGGTTAGCCACAGAGAGCAACCACCCACAAAACCAATTCTAATTCCCGGCTCCGAGCACATGACACACCCACATCGTGACAGTGATTGGTTGCTAATCTAAAACTGCTGTAAGCAATGGCAGCGACCCAGTTGTCGAATGCGAAGAACTTGAACCTCGTGCTCCACTTCAAAACTCATCAATGGGAGCAATCAATCCTTGTCCAAATTTCAAACCTCTATTGATTGGGACAACCGATGGTGACTGCTCCACAAATTCCTGCGAAAGAAGAAGACTGTCGTCTTTCGCTTGGGGGCTACTCCACAAGCTTGAACAACGAAATCTCCATTCTTGTAGGCACAAAATTTCCCGGGAGCGTCACTCACCCTGCTTGCTTTCTTGTGCGAAGTGTCGGATAGAAAGGACTCTTGCGTCAGCATCGTCAAGATAATGTGGTCCTTCCAGCCTATGTTTGTACTAGACTTTTCTAGGACACAATGGTTTTCTTCACTACAGGTCTTCTTTTCGGTGGTTGTTGGAATAGAATCAGAACTAGATGACCTCCATTGAATTATTGATTACACAAGAGTTGCCTATCTATTATACGCATAATTCTGCTACAAACCATGATTCTGTGTGCTCCATCATTGTTACTTAATGAACTGAGAGAATCATTTTATTTTATTTTAGTATGTTCTCCATGGCTGCAAATATTGCAAGATATTTGTGATATGAATTTGACATCAATCTTGATGACTTACGGTTGGACTTCTTGTTGGCTTATCAGACAGATCATGTGCAACATGCAAAAGCTCAGTAACGAGAAAATGTCATACAAGTCTTTTTATGCTCATTTCAATCCTCCTATCTGGTGGTTCGCATAGATAACTATGAGTAAGAGTGCCTTTTTGGAAATTGGAATTTGACAATTATTCTTTGGAGAGAATCACTTCTCAAATTTACAACTTTTTATTATCAAAGAACCTTAAAAAGATTTAATTCTTGATCTTTACCACTAATCATTGTAGAATGGAGCTGCATCTTTACAAGTAACGAATTTTGGAGATGTTTAATCACGAGTTCTATCTTCAGTGAACCGAGAAAAATGATCAATGCATTTCTAGAACTGTCGCGTCATCATGCTTTTGTTCTCTAATAATAAGAATTCGTTTACAAAGACGAACATCAAATGCTTGGCCTAGAAAGTTTAACCTACTTCTTCGTCTCTGAATAATGTAGTATAAAAGCCACTTCAAAAGCTGAAATCAGAATTAATCAGTTTAAGATAAAATCCACACATGCGGCTGGAAGGGACACACGCTAATTACTCTAAAGTAATAGATCACACATCGAATGTTCAGGGCTACAGTAATTTAGTCTATTCTGTTGTAAATAAAACTCGTCATCTTGAAACTGTGTTGATTAATCATCCATCTTCCCCACTCACCATGTAAACAGTGTGACTCGATCGCTCCTCAAATAGTTCAAGTACATCTCAAATATCGATTCCGAGGGGCACTACATACCGCAACTCAATTGTAAATCATATAATACTAGGCCATTTTGAGACATTATCAAGGCCGCACTGCAACCCATAACAAAGTCAAAACACCAACGCCTTGCTAAGTGTATGAAGCCATCATACAATACATCACAACAACCTAGGTCTGCATTTCAGTGAAATTGAACTGCAGGCAAATCGAGGGGTCTACCAACAGGGGGATGGGGATAGAGGTGCAATCTGACCTAATGTAAGATGATTTCATCTGGCTTACAATTACCAGCTCTTAAACAAGTTAGACATTTCCGATAAGCCAGATCAAAGTAAAAAATGCATGTTTCCAACTGGGCACTAAGGTTCCAATCAAGGGTTTTCCAACCTTTGTTGACGAGAAACATGATTTTGCGATTAAAAATCTGCAATATCAGGTTCGAAAACTAGCCTTCGACCCAATTCCTGGTGCACACATTAACAATGATCTATCCTAATAGATGCAACTTTATTCACCAACTCTGCGAGGAGATTGGACACGAAATCTAGATGTCAAAGAAATTCACCCACTCCCGCTCCTTCCTAACTCGTAGACGGCGCGCCAGTCTCTCGCACCACTACATGGTAGAAACCCAACGCAAGATTTAGTACTTCACATTCGACAAAACGGTTCCCAATTTTCTAAACAAACCACGAGGACAGCAAGCAACAAACCTGCTTTCTGTGGAGCGCCTTCTGCGTAGGGCTGGAATTTGTAGTACGCATGCTCCCGCTGGAGCGCCTTGGACTTGAACGGCTCCTTCAAGCAGTTGCGAACCATGGCTGCGCATGTATTGGCGTAAGAAAGATAGGTCATGCCTGCGGTTCTCCAGTAAGGAGCAGCCGCCTGTGCTACTGTCGACGCTGCTGCACTCGACATTGTCACGAAAGGGAAGCGACCGATTCAAACACACAAACCCTAAACAAAAGTGAGCAAAACACAGTCTGCAATCCACCGATCGGCTCTCGCACACCTTCACTTGAAATCACGAGCTCTACCACATCAGGGTTCCGAAATTCTAATGGCTTCTAGACTCCACAGTTTCCAGGTTCTCCCGGTAGCCTTCTCGTTCGTCCATTCAACGAAGAACAAATGACGGATGTACATGGACATACTTTCATCTTTAGTTGATGGACCAGTGACAGTTCCCGTCCACCAGAGATCCGTTCACACTTCCCGTCTACCCAAGCTTTGCCGCTTGCGCCGAAAGTTCTAGACAGTCAATATGGATGATAATTTGTGGATGAACGTGATTATCTACGACGGTTTCATAATAAACGTGTTAACTCCAAATGCATGCCTTCATAGAGAGGCTGTTATTTAAAATCTTAATATTTTCCACTGTTTACCTTTGAATAGAGAGACATTTTGAGCTGAAATTTTCCTCTTTATTTGATTCTTTTTATGAAAGCACAATTTTTGTTAAATGATTTTTCAAATTTATTATTTAGATATGACACTTGAATACAAAGAATGTAAAATAATATTCTCTTCACAATAATCAATAGCTGTTTACAAAACTGAAGCCATAGTAAGAAATAAAATTGTATTTTACTTTATTTCTCACTTATTATTACACAATCATACTAATCAATGGTCTAATTCACAAATAATAACTAGCTGTCCATCAGTCATTTATAATTAGTATATTTCAGCATAGCTAGAGTAACGGCTGCAAATAATCCACATTGGGCATTAAGTAGAATAATCATTAAAAATAAATGTTCATATAATTTTGATGAGTTTATGACAAGTCGGAACAACACATACAAATTGAATTACAAATGAGTCAGCATTATTCATTATTTTAGCACAATTCATTAAGATAAAATGAATTATAAATAAATGATCACGTCCTTAAATTTGAATCCAAAACCGATTTGGATTTATTATTGTTCATGTGATCAATTTTCTGTATAGAAATCAAGATCATTTACAACATCAATTTGCAAAGTAAAATACTAGCACATCATTTGTCATTTCTAATAACTTTAAAAGTTTATTTGTACATAATTCTCTTGGTTTTTATTAATTGCAATCATTACACATATAAAGTGTAACATTGGTTTGAATTTTAATTTTGACAATGTGAACGTTATTCACTATGTGCATAGAAGAAAACAACTTTATCATCTTTTACCCAATTTCCAAGATCAATGTGGGTATTAGAGCAAAAGTAAAATTTGAAGTGTATAATGTACATAAGAGATGAATGAAAAAATAAAAATACGTGTATATATATATATATATATATATATAAATCTGTTTATATCCGTACATCATTGCATATTGTTGTGACATATAAAATGTTGCAACTTTAAGTAGCAAAACATTCTAATTAATCTATGTTGAAATTAGACACTGAATGGAAAGGTAGAATGAGTGGTACGGACTTGTTTTTAAAAATGAATTTTCTTAATGAAATTTTTTTTGAAAAATGTAAACGAATTCATTCAGTCACTCGTTTGCTGAGAGATTTATTCTGATTTAATTTTTTTCGATGGTAAAATTGATCCAAAAAATCTATACGTACACTAAAATGTCTGTATTGCAATTCGTCCCACCAATTATGAATTTCATTTTAACTAACACCATAACCTACAATTTTAAAGATTCAATAATCATGCATACCCTATTCAGGGCAAATTTACTTTAAAAGTGAGTGGGAGACGTTTTTCTGAAGGTCCACTTTAAAGTGCTACAACGTAAGAGGAAACCCTGTCCACACTGCGGAATCTCGTTGACTGTGCCAACAACAATACGTGGCCCTCGGCCAGATTATATCACTACACGTGGACTCAACGTGTCAATGCCGAGACTCCTTCACTTGTCAAACGCCAAGTCATCAACAATGCCCCCCTTCCACATCGGCGCCACCATATTATATCGATCGCGCCAACTCCTTCACTCTTACTTCAGTCCTTGATCTCTCGCAGACAAATTGACTCATCTTCTACACTCTCATCATACCCAATTTTCTTGATAGATTTGTTTATTGAATACATTTATGGGTTTTGTTTTTTATACGTCAGAGGTAGTGATTTAGAGTGTCTGAGGAGGTTGTTTGAGTTTTGTTGTGTTTTTTTCTTTTTTTTTTCTTTTTTTTTTTTTTTTTTTTCGAAGAGGTTTTCCGACGATGTCTGGGGCGACGCTGGCTGCAGGCCCTCGCATTCCGAAGCACATCGATGAGACACACGGAGAGAAGTATGATCGCCGAGCCGGCGATACAGCCGGTCTCGGAGGTATCATGGGCTCCCTCCGCGTGATCGAGCTTCAATTGGTGGCGTTCATCATCGTGTTTTCGGCGTCTGGGTTGGTTCCCCTCTTGGATCTTGCTTTCCCGGTGTTCTTGTCCATCTATGCGTTTCTGTTGTCGGCTTTGGTGTTTCCGAATTACGGGAACGCAGAATCGCTGCAGGTTTTTAAGGGGAATCGCTTGTTTCAACTGTATGTCGTGTTCGGGACTGTTATTGGGCTGTTCTTGCCCCTAGCGTATGTGTTAGGCGGGTTTGCGCGGAATGATCAGGACTCGGTTCGTGCCGCGACACCTCACTTGTTCCTGCTGTCGTTTCAAGTGTTGTCGGAGAATCTTATTTCCGGGTTGAACATCTTCTCGGTTCCAGTTCGGGCGCTTCTGCCTATTTTGTACAGTATGCGCCGCTTGTTTTCGTTAAATGGATGGGTCATCAGCACATGGTTTACCAACAAGGTTGGGCAAGATATCCGCATTCAGGTATGAATTCTGCTTCTCATATCCCATTTTCTGGCACTAATGCTGTTTAAGCTAATGGAATTGAATTGAATCCATATTCTATGATGTTATACTTGGTTACATTAGAATCACTGGGTTGGCGTTGTTGGCAAGGAATCTATAGTTAGTGCACTACTAAATTATTTTACCAATCCTGTTACTATTTTACCAATCCTTTCGGAGATTAATATTTATCGTTCACCATGAACTAAAAGATGGTTCCATGATTTCACAGGACGAATACTGGGTTTACTTCGGTCGTGCATTGTCAGCAGCCAATGCTATATACTACACCATCAACCTGTTTTGCTTTCTCATTCCCATGTTTTTGCCTCGCGCCTTTGAGACCTACTTCAACGACAGAGCACAATACCAGGCTGAGCATCCCAAACAAGAGAAGAGCTCCATGTCCTCAATGCTCCCATCGAAGCTGCCAGTTCCCTCGCTTCTGAAGAAACCGCACTCAGAGGAGGGCAAGAAGTCAGAGGAGGACAAGAAGTCATCCTAGATGTATTGACTCCAAACTGTAGGAATGGTATTGTTGTGAATAGGTTGTAGGGCACAAGAAAGAGGGCTTAATTGAGGATCACTTTCTGTGTAGATCATCACAGGTATGTACAAGTTATAGATGCTTTTTGGTGTCCAGAAAATAGGAATGGGGAGCTGACAATAATGTGTACCATTGTAACTTGCCATATAACATGTGTTGTTTATCATGCTTTTTGAAAAATTGAACACAACTTTGATTTGGAAACTTTATCACTGATCACGAATTGAAATATTACACATACTAAAAAATAAATTTTGCTCCACAAATGTACAAAAATTGAAAGGTGACGTAACTTAGCCTGGAGCAGGTTGTGTAATCAACAGAACAATTTTCTACTACCACAGTGACATTTGAAAGCTGTCATCATACAAGCGCCTGTTCTAAATCCATCGCTTATCACACTAGTAGCTTGGTACAAATGTGATGAATCTGTACCATAAACTATGGATTACACTAATGAATTTATGATAGCTGCAGTCCGATAGGAAAAGTTTTCGGAGAAACTCCACCTCATGACTAATTTTTGGATACTTATCCCTTGCAAACTGAATGCTGATTCCATGAGTTTCGAATCTCTCACGCTCCAAAACAAAAAGAAATAGTGAAGAAAAAAAATTCAAATTTCCTTCCTGAATTATCATTCACTGTTCATAGCGATTGGGCTTCAAGGGAGAAACTTCAACCATATCGAGCTGCTGCTGAATCATCAATAGGATCACCTCTTTTCATAGCATGTGCTTCAACACTTAAAGACTGGATTTTTTTGGACAAGTGACTGGTCCGTATTGGCTGCGAAGCATCCGCCTCATCACCTTGTTAGAGGCAGTGCGAGGAAGTGAAGGAGCAATCCCCACTGCATTCACCTACGAAGGGGGAAACTATCGTCAGATTGACGTAATATGACAGAAATGGCGTAATTAACTTTCATTTTTTTTGAATTTCAGAGAGCTACCTTAAACAAAGGATTCAGCTTTGCTTGAATTGCTGCATTGAAAACCTTCTTCAGGTCCTCCAAAGAAATAGCTTTTCTACTATCTTTCAAAACCAGTACTATTAGTAGTTGCTCTGGTCCTCCACCAGCAGGAGGCACGCCAACAGCAGCAGTCTCTAGAACGTCTTCGTGAGCAGCGTTACATACTCTCTCAATTTCCACAGAGCTTACCTACAGTTCGAAATAGTTCCTTTCATTAATTGTAAAAATAATAAATAGGGCGGCAAATTGTGTCAATGGTGACCCAATAGACATCGTTTCATTGGATCGCCAGTGTCTGCAAGTTTCATTCCCTACTATCAAAGAGTATCTTGTGTACTAATACCGTAACTGGTAAATTGAAATAGACATACATCAAGTGAGAACACCCAATTATAGCCACATTTTTAGAATTGACTACTTGCCGAGTGAATACTGAAAACGCACCTTGATCCCTCCCAAATTCATTGTGTCGTCCACGCGACCATGTGCACGGTAATAACCGCCTACAGTACGTTCAATCTCATCACCATGCCTTCTTAGGATCTGGAAAAATCCAAATTTACGTAAAAAATGAGACATCAATCAACCTGATCCTTCAAAGCATAGATGAAGTTTCAACACCCACCTTTCCTTGAACCTGTGGCATCCCTTTGTAATAAACATTGTAGTGGCTTGCATTCAGCAAACGTGTTGATGATCCAAAGATCGATGGGTCCAATGCACACTCTCCAGTGGCTGGTAGATCTGATGGCTGGACCAAATACAACCATCATGTCGATATTAGTATCATCATACCATGCAGCAACATGTGAACTACTGATTGGAAGAAGCTAGACCTGTCTGGGTGAAATAAGAAGAGAGATTGAACTCAGTCTGGAAGGCAATAGTCTAGATGAACGCATCCTAGAAATTTTTACAAAAGGTAACAGTTCTAAATCGTGTGACGTCTATAATACACTCAGTTGCTCGTTCAAAATGTTATGACCATAACACGAACAATTTCAGCACTAACCAGAGGTTGCCCACGATCATCAAGTATTACAATCTTGCAACCCATAGCAGGCGTGCTAAACGCTGACAAAGTTTGAGGCTGTAACATTGATCCTGTGACGAAACCCCCACCAATTTCAGTTCCCCCGCAATACTCTATGATAGGTTTGTATTTTGCTTGACTCATCAACCATAAGTAATCGTCCACGTTTGACGCTTCACCAGAGGAACTGAAGCACCTGTAGTTCAAACAACACAAATCAAGCAAAGTCATCCATATATAAGTAGGATACAAAAGTTATAATTAAAAGAGCTGAAAACCTATGCAAAGACAGCCTAGCAGTAGAAAAACAAATCATCTCAAGCACAGTACTGGTATTTAAGCACAGCAACTTGTTCGAAAAAGTGTGATTTACCGCAGATGGAACCAGTCACAGCCGTGTACAACCTGAGTGTTTCTCCAAGCTTTCGCAATGCTTGGAACAAGCCCCAGCATAGTAACTTTTGCATCCTACGATATCAAAAAATTAAGATCCATCAAATCCATTAGGACCTGATAAAGGAAAGAAAACATTCGTAAATGAGGCTTCGCAAAACAAATCCGGCTGAACCACATAACAGTCCACTGAAATCTGCAGTTTACATCAGCACAAGTAAACAGTCGACGGAGGCTTCTTCAACCTGCAAAGACATGGAACACAAAAGCATTCTCTAATCGAGCAGAAGAATACCTGCACGAATTTCGCGAAGCCGTATCCAAGTGGTGCACCGTTGTAGAGGGCTATTGACGCCCGATTCAAGAGAGCAGCATAGATGAGCCAAGGCCCCATCATCCAGCCCAAATTGGTAGGCCATGCCACCACATCTCTGTGTCGGATATCATGATGTGCCCAGGCATCAGCTGCAGCCTTGATAGGAGTTGCATGCGTCCAAGGTATTGCTTTCGGATCCCCTGTTGACAAAGAAACACTGCCAGATATTATTTTCGAGAACGTTTAAAGTGCATCCCTTCTTTAAGGAAATCCCTGTTCTTTGAACAGAGATCCCATTTTTTGGAAGAACCGAAGGTGATAAAATCTCTACGTTCGCACCTGTAGTTCCTGATGAAAAGAGGATATTGGACGTGTCGTCAATATTCATTGCTACCGCATTGAAATCATCTGGCCTGCATATAGTGTGATAAAGATGAGAGCACTATGTCAAGTATTTAAGGACAGAACTTGAAGTGAAGTGTACTGCAGCTAGAATAGCGATACACTCAAGAATCTTACAATAAAAAGGTCTTACTCAAACCTACATGGTGAGACGTAAAAAAGGTCATATACTACTAGAGAATATTCCATCATTTTGTTGCAATGCAACACCTACATACCCTTGAAAAGTTCACAAATTGTTCTGTGACCAGGAACTGAGATCTTACTCTGTTGACGTCCACCTAAATGGATAAAAGAGGGGAATTTTGTATAGACTGTAGGTGCTTAGCTTTTTTGAAGAGAAAAGTGTACGTAGCCACATCGTTGTTTATTGACAGATTTTACACTTGCCTGTCCACTGTGGAAGTCAACTCTAAGAATTTATCCCATGTCATGTCTCCTTCGCGAAGAACAACTTGAATCCCATCATCCCGAGCAGGCAACACAATGGCTCGTGGTCCATTTGCCTCTACGACTCGACTATTCACGAAAACACCAGAACAGCATGAGAAGGTAGCAGATCGTTTCAGATCACCAGAACATAAAGCTAAAAACTAGATTGTTAAACAACAAGAGGCTTACTAAACATGAATGAGAGTAGCAACCTTCAGTTCATTGATAAAATAAAATGGGGACCTAATCCTTATCATAAACAAAACCAATGGATTTAACATACTTGTATAGCGGATGAGTCCTTTGACCTCGCAGAATTACATCCTGTGAGCCATGTATCATATGGAATAGGTGTCATTATCATCAAAGTTCTGGAACATAATCATTGTTAAAAAGAGTGCTTGAATATTGCATGCATTAGAATGCTCAAAGATAATAATTGTCATACCTGTGTAAAAATACCCTCTGCTTTAGATATCTTCAGACGACTAGCGATCTCAGAAGGTGCAAAGCTGTCAGCTATTGACACTACCGCACATCCGGCAAGAATAACAGCCAAGTAAATAATGACTGCATGAACGTCCATAGGCATGTTTATAGCAATGGCATCTCCCTTTCTAAAGCCTGCTCCTTCCAAGGCATTTGCGACTCGACTGCAGAAGAATGAGACAATGGAAGTTTAATTGCGAAGACTAGCAAATCGGCATGCAAGAAATCTTTAACCATATTACAGCATGGTGTTTAAAAGGAGCAATGACCAAATCGACCTGTTTCATGTCTGGGGTTGAACATTCAAGAAGCGAATTCACTACATGAGCACACTCATCCTGCGATGCTTTTTTGGATCACTTGACTGCCAAGTATTTGACCATCACAAGCTTTAGATCTTACCAGACCCGTTCTCGAAGCTCTGCCATCGTCAGGCAACTGATTGGAGAGTCATCCTGACCTTCATTTCTCCACATAACTGCTATCTCTCGACCCCTTTCTTCGCTATCAAGTTGAAGGCAGCATTCGGCGACGTTCAGAATTGCTCCTGGCAACCACCTCCCCCCTGGACAAGGCTCACCAAGAAAATTTGTTTCGTCGCTCTTAAGTATGCAAGAGGGGCGTTCGTGAAACTTAAGGCCGAGCTCCTTCAGAACAATATCCCAATAGACCTACACATATTACAATCTCACTTCATAAAAATCAAAAATTTAATTAAATTAAGTTCTACCCTTAAGATGTAATCATACATGTTTTTCCTTCCATAAATGTCAACCATATTGTACCTCAGGCTTCTCCACGGATAGCTGGTAAAAGTCATTGAAGCTTGCAATTGGATCTTTGTAAGAGGCAAGAAGCTCGGCCCCGCGTGCTACCAATATGCGACCAATGTTGGTGAGCTTCGCATCCTCCCTTGATCACACAACATTAACATAAGCCCACAAACTTGTGACTGCACCATAAACGAGCAAACTACGAACCAGGTGCGAGTGAGGGAGCTCACATGATACGACGATTCCCAGAGAGCTGTATTTAGGCCACCCATAAATATATACAAGTAAATATTGGACCTTTTCATTTCAAATTCCACACTTGGCGTAAGATCATATCGACAGGAACCAAACGAGTTGGGCGGATCTTCACTCAAATCTTTGTCTACAGTTTTCGAATAGAAGGAAGAGCTAGACTTACAAGGCAGGAGTCCATGCAGGAGGAGGCCCAAGCAGCTCGCTATTCCAATTCTTGTAGGTAGTATGATAGAGCAGCCGGTGCAAGGCAAAAGGATGGGCTGGAGTGAGCAGCGCCTGCGATATCTTGATCCACAAATTCACTGAACCCTGAGTACTTTGTACGATTCTTATGAGGTTCTTGCAAAACAATTCGGCCTTAGAAGGTGACAGCCCAGTATCTCTGATATCCATTTCTGTGAGTTCGCCAAAAATCTTGTCTCTGCACTTCGCCATAGCCAAACTTCTGTCTAGAAGAATCCAGTGAGCACCACAATTCAAAAAATCCCTGACCACTAGGCAATCACACCTCGGCCTCTAATTACGCACTTTCAACCATCTTCATCAATGTCCTTTCGCCAAATTACAAATTAGTAAACTCGATCAGACTTCCTGTTTCAGCCTCGTCTCATGGTCGTATAATCATCCATCACCTCAATCGCATGTACTGCTGCGGGTAAAGCCCAGCACGTCGAAATTCTTCACTCTCTTATTATCAATTCCTTTTCACCTCCCGAACCCCCACAACATCAACACTAGAATAAAGCCTCCCTCACTTATTTTACTTCTCCAGCCTCGTTTCGAACCCAAAGACCGTACCGATCAAGGGGTTAGCAACCTAAAACCAAATCTCTCTGCACTCTCTCAGCCCGATCCTCGACACAATTTCGTGAGCACAAAAGCCCTCCGAAGCGACTACAAAAGCTAAAGAACTTCCTCAATCACGAACCTCCTCCTCAGAAACAGAAGCGAATCCTCTCAAAAGAATTCCTCGATTCCCAGCCGCAATGATTTCCCACGCACTCTTGTAAGAGCCGAGGCTTACAGTAAGAATCGCTTTAAAAGATTCAATACTGGACGAAAATAAACGCCCCGGCACCCGATCGGAAGAGGATTGAAAGCTGGATCGGATCAACAAGTCAGGGTGACGAGGAGCAGTGCCGAGTGGACTCCACGTAAGGAAATCGATGGCTTCTTATCTCACGCACCAACTGCATCACGACGACGACGACGACGACGACGACGGAGCTTGCCCTTCATGGCTTCCGCATGAGGTTCATTGGGAACGGCGTCACTTCCATCGCTTACCCCCATCGGGAACGTGGCTGATATCTGCCGATATGGCAACAGGTCGTCACTTTTCCTTTTTTAGGCTCTCCTAAAAGTAACTTTTATTTCCTGCCCGAACTGGCTTGACCGGAGAGCTACCGCTGCCCCAATTTTGACTTAGCCCCAATTAGGCCTAACTAATCAATATCAATTTAATTTTGCTTCTGAAATGGAAATTTTATAAATAATTATGTTCGAGATTCTCAAGGTCCACCTACAAAGGCCTATAGAACAAAGACTCGAGTTGTAGCAGATTCGTGGAATGAAACGATTATAATATTTGTTATAGTGGATTAAAATGCTATTTTAAAATCTCTATGACAATTACTAAGTGTGTGTGTGTGTGTGTGTGTGTTTTTTTTTTTTTTTTTTTTTTTTTTTTTCAATCATAATAATGTAATTAATTCAAAATAAAAAATGGAGCAATCAATTGAATGTGTGTGAACCTGTAAGAAAGTTTTGAATATTGAAAATTTGCAAACATTTCCATCTAAAACCATAAAAATTGTTGTTTTGTTATACAAGCAAGTCAAGTAGTATGTTTCTTTTTTAATTTTAATTGTGTAGATCCAAAATCCGGGTTTAAAATTTTATGTTATAACATATGAAATTGGATTGTTAGTGCAATATCAATTCATTTGAAGGGAACAAAAGATTGTCAAGATTGGGATGCATCAAAAAATACCAAATATATATATATATATATATATATATATATATATATATATATATATCTTACATCCAATTTAAATTGATGTAGGATATATATATATATATATATATATATATTTTTTACTGCATATATTTTTTTTTTAATTTTGAAAATAATAAAAATCAAGCCATTGTAAGAATTTTTTTCATGCATGCAAGTCATTGACTTTAACATGCAAGTCATTGACTTTCAAACATGGCCTTTTTAGGTGATATTTCACATATTGATGCAAGCTCAAAGTATCTCATGATATTTCAAAATATTACTTGATACTTCACCAAATCACCTACCTAGTAAGATGGATGATTTTGAAATCTAAATATCAAAAGAAGGATGGTTCAAATATCAAAAATCATGTTGCTTGCTTCAACTTTCTTTCTTTTTTGACTCCTCACTACACTATCTACTACCATGCCTTGGTGTTTTGAAAATCAACAAATCCTTTAAGATTTAGAAATGTTGTCCATTTCTACAATTGATGAGGAATTTGATGAATTGTTTGAAGAACATTATTAGCAGGTTGATAACAAGTTTCAAGACAATTTCTTTGAATTTCATGATGCATAGGAACTTGCAATGGTTCATGGCATAATCAACAAGTCTTGTTTCATGTTCATTAACATCTTATATCTAAATTGTGCAATTTAGTTTTGAATTATTTTATAAATAAACTTAATGCCAAGTTTTTCCAACAACAATAACATTGCGAGAGGGCTTTCAAATGGTGATTTCATCCATCAAACACTACTCCATTTTTAAAAATAGAAGCCATTTCTACAAACTAATATTGCTTGACAATTGGCTTTAGCACTACGGCATTTTAGATCAAACGGCAATAGAACTAGCATTAGAAGATTAAGGACTTATGGTATTGACAATGGCATTGTGTGCTTTTTTTATTAATGAGGTGATTCAAGCCATTTTGTCACTCCAATAGTAATATCTATGGTAGCCATATACTACCCAAAGGCTTCAAATTAGCCAATCTTTCAACTTATTTGGCTTTAAACATTGCATTGGATTTGCTCACAAGACACCATTCTTCTTAAGGTAGCATTGAAAGAATGATGGAGACACATTCTTTATTAGAAAGAATAAATATTCTATGAATGCGTATATTGTTTATGGCCTTGATTTCTATATTGTCAATCAAATCACTAACTAGCTTGCATCTTATATAGATGCAATAATGTTCATGAAGATAGAAATATTTAAAAACCTCATAAATTTTGTTTAATCCTAGACATTACTTGCTGGTAGATTTAGTCTATAATATGATACAGATGGACATTCTTGGCTACAAGTCTCTAACCACCAAATGGTTGATCAACCATTTTGTTTAGCTAAAGCACAAGTTGCAAATGAATATTGCATTGAGATCTTAAAAGATAAGTGGGTTTTGCTTAAAGAAATTTGTATCCAATTCAATCAAATAAAAGATATGAAATGCATTGTGGATTGGATCTTTGCTTGTTGTATTTTTCATAATATACTGCCTCATTTGGACAATATGAGGTTGACTATATTGACTAAGATTGGCCAAGAGCCATTAGAAAATTCTACTATCATGTTAAAAGAGGCAATTCTCTTCAAAGAAATGATTTAAAACAAAGCCATGGCATTCAATTATATATTGGGTGTTTTATCAATGTATGATTCAAACTAGAAGATTGTAATCAGGTTTGCTATTGAGTCTTTAGCCATCAAGATTTAGTTTATCTTTATGTGGTGTTCTTTTTGTATTATGAAAGTGAAAATAAGTATAATAGTTTTGGATCTTATTGTAACTTTTGTCTTCTTTGTATTGTTGTGAAATACATTGTGAAACCAAGGCCTCTAAAATCTTATTTTTGAAGCATCCAAGATTGTAAAAAATAAATTAATATATATATTTTTTTAAAAAAAAACAATACAAAATGGACAAGCAAAGCTTAGCTCCTTCTATATGGCTACTATACCTCATATATGCTAGAAATATATGATAGTGATAACTTTTGTATTAATACCCTATATTTAGCTTATTAAATGTGTGAAAGCACAAGGAATAAGTAATATAAGAGAAGTGCTATATTTTGGGTGATTTTGATATAGAAGCAATGTTGTGGGTAGAACAAAATAGAAAGTGTAATAGGGTGTCATTTACATGATGTTTTTGAGAGATTTTATCAACTTACATACACCTCACTTCCCTCCATCTCCTTCTCCTATCATCTTTTTTCAATACAATATCTTATCGTATTTTGAATGGTGCTGCATCAATTAACAAAAATTGATGTTGTAGAGTGCCTTAGAAGATTTTTCAAAGGGCTATCACTAGTGAGATATTATTTTAAACTTTGCTTAATTAATTTAGTTGTGATGGTAATTTTTTAATTTATAATTGTCTTTTGATGCAAGTAGAGTTGATTCTCTACATCTTATAGCTTCTATTTTTTAATTCTTCATTGGATTTGCAACACAATATCCTTAAATAATTTCTTTGTCTTGTAAATTCTATGCAGTGTTATGATCCATCAATTGAGAGCAAGAATAATGAAAAAAATAGGGGACACTGCAATAAAGTATAAATATAATTGCTAGTCTTGAATTAAAGCAACTACGTCATAGAGACATATCTATCTATCTTGAGTCAAAGTGAATTCTTCATAGAACTAGGTTATTTTGCCCTTGGTTAAGGTATCTATGTTTTAACAAGGGACCTCAAGGAATATCAATATTTTTTTGGGACAAGATTTGCAACCTATGTTAGGAACTTCATCTTAAAGAAGATCAATAAAGTTTTATGTTATTTGTTAAGATTGAATTCTAACGATTTATCTATCTTGGTTGAATTATGTTCTTCAAGTATTTGACTTTTGTGGAGAAATATACTAGTTTTTAAGACTTTGCAAGGAGCAAAATCTTTAAATTGAGTCAAGTGAATCAATTTTGTAATTGATCAAGAAATAAAATTTATTATCGAAATTGACTCAAAATGTATTATCAAAATTTGTATAGAACTATAAAAACTATGTATGTATTTATTTATTTATTTATTTATTTTCTTCTAAATTTTGAATTTTATATAGGAAAAGATATAAGGCTAGAAATTTATAAGATCGGCTATTTTGCAAGAAATGAAATGTATTATCTCTAAAATTTTATAAGAATATATATCAAGTCTCAAGTTCTAGATGCTATGGCCTATATAATAAGTGAACATGACAAAACGTGTTGAGTTCCACTCTCTTATGCAATAATTCGTGAGAATATCATCTCTAGAATTCAATGCCTCCAAAACCTTATATTTGAGGCTTATAAAACTTAAGCCATCTAGACCCCTCACATTTTCTTCTTTATTTCTTTCCATGCTAATTCTACATGATTAAATTCGGACCAATGTATTAGGTTTTAGGATTGACAATGGAGCAACTTCATAAAATAAATTCTAAAATTTAAGACATGATTTATAAACTATAATTTAATTTATAAACCAATTTTTTTATTAATATGCTTTCCTCAAAAGGGCTATAATTTATTAAATTTCTTGTATATTCTTTCTTTAAATTAATTGAGCTTAGACTGGATCAAAAAACTTGTCTTTATTATTATGTTTTTGAATCATCTTCTTTTCATCTTACTCTAAAGCCAATTTCTCTCTTTCATATTCCATTTTATTATTTTTCAAGCTTTCTTTCATTTCTAGCTCTTTTTATAAGGAAGTTTTAACTCTCTCACTATTTTGATTTAATAGAATCAAAAGCTTTCATATTATGGAAATTTTTAGTTATGATGACTCTGCAAATGCATTGGCTATTGTGCAATGCTGCTTTGAATATATATATTTTTGCTTTGAAATGAACGGTTAATTCTTCTTTTTTGGAATCATAGTGGTAATGTCGCCAAGCAATGGATGTCTTATGGAAGGTGATGCTAGTGATAAAGATAGAAAATAAATAAAATTAAAAAAGAACAAGAAATTATGCTCATTTTTATACACCTTTTCTAGTTTATTAAGTTTGTCTTACAATTAAGCCTCCTATATATTCTCAAGTAGTAATTTCTTAGGCAATAAGTTCAAATCAGGTGACAATAATGGTGAATTGATAATCGATACTACTATAAAATCTTGCAATGACATTGGCAAGATTGTATTTGTTATTATGGTGGAATCCCTCTTATAAAAAATGTCACGTTTGGCCTC